TCGGGCTCCCTGCATGGAGCCTGCTTCTCTCTCTCTCCCTGTGTCTCTCATGAATAAATAAATAAAATCTTCGAAAAAAGAAAATACATTACCTATCCTCCCCAGAACTTTTATTATGATCGCTAAAATGCCACATATAAGAAGAAACATATACATGAAGAATATTTTTATTTTCTATGCCATATTTCTCCATACATTATTTTTAAAAGTTTCTTGTTAAGGAGTTGGAACAAAGTATGGGCTTTAAATTCTTTTTTTTTTTAAGGTTTTATTTACTTATTTGAGAGAGAGAGAACGAGAGCACAGGTAAGGTAAGGAGCAGAGGGAGAAGCAGACTCCCCGCTGAGCAGGGAGCCTGATGTGGGGCTTGATCCCAGGGCTCCAGGATCAGGACCTGAGAGCCAAAGGCAGAAGCTTAACTGACTGAGCCACCCAGGCACCCCTGAGCTTTAAATTCTTTTTAAAAAATCACTTTTTCATATTTTGCTTTAACATAGAAGTTCCTGCAAAACTTCTTAAAATAAAAAATTTTTTAAATAATTTTGTGTGTTCTTTAGCATTATTTGAGTATACTTGTTATTTCTTGATATTAATTCAGCCAGTTTTAGGCTGGTAGGGGAATGATTCATATGTACTAATAAGTATAATTCATAGTGGAAAGTTAGAAGAGCCTCTCCTTGTGCTGCCATGATAACTTGTGCCTACTCCTTCATAGCAGTTACACCATTTACATTTTCCTCATATTTTCCTCTGATAGAGTCTATCACAAACTAGATGTGGGGATGGTAAGGAGTAGCATTTCTTTGATTTTGGAAAAAACTTCCCATGCTACTTTTTAGGAACATCACATTTTTCATCACCATCAACATCACCATTCTTTTGAAAACTCTTACTCATCTCTAAACCCTTAGAAAATAGGAAACTGTATCTTATCATTTTATGTCCAGTGCTTAGCATTTTTGTGGCCTCTGCTTGTAAGGTAGACAGTAAATGTTCCCAGCAGGAAAGTAAAACTAGGAGTTTCGGTGTAGGAGAAATTAATTTTGATTTGGAAGACCATGAAAGACTTTATGCAAGGGTTACTTGAGAGGAGTTATGAAAAGAAGTGTAGAGCTAGTTTTATGGAAATGGATGAGAGCATTTCACACAAGAGGGAATGAGCAAAAGCAGAGGCAGAAAAGTGTGTGTATTCCAGGATTCTTGGGCAGAAATCTCAGAGTGTGTGAAGTGGGAGAAGTCTACAGAATTTGCCTGTGTTCAGTCAGATTGTGAATACTCTTGAAGGCCATTGTATGGCATTGGAACTTTATTTGTAGGTGGAAGAGAAAGAACCATTGAAAAATTTTTTATCATGGCATAACTTGATTCATCTGTCAGCAATTTGGTATATCACTCTGTGGGTGAGATTATGGGCAGGTCGAAAGCTTTAGTTAAAATTAGGACATTAGGCACAATTAGAGTCTAAATTAGAATTACTATGAAGAAAGAAGAGGGAATTGATACCAGAGATAAAATGAATAACCCTTAGCACCTCTTTTTTTAAGTATCACATTTTTCATTTTAAAATGGTAACTACAATCCTAATTAAGAGATTGTGCTAGCAAAAAGGAATGCTTTGACAGGCAAAAACTCCTTCTTTGCAATCGAAATTGCCTTGGCATTTATAGAAAATAATGAAATAAAGTTAATTGGATATCATCTTGATAATAGTAGAGTTAAGCGATTGATGATATGTGTTGGAGGTTTATTTTATGTAAGAATTGATTGCAGATTAGAGACCTGTCCAAGAAGAGAACAAGATAATAATTTGGACCTTATTTTGGGTCTCTGTAGTGGTTTATATAGGCCTTTTATGCTTTCTCTCTATTTATTAATTTGGGCATAGAAGAGGCTCAGTTATGGCACACTCTGAATGCCACTTTAGAAAATTATATAGGAATCAGTATATAATATGTTGAAACACTATTTATTTTTTTTTAATTTTATTTTATTTATGATAGTCACACACACACAGAGAGGGAGGCAGAGACATAGGCAGAGGGAGAAGCAGGCTCCATGCACCGGGAGCCCGACGTGGGATTCGATCCCTGGTCTCCAGGATCGCTCCCTGGGCCAGAGGCAGGCGCCAAACCGCTGTGCCACCCAGGGATCCCCTGAAACACTATTTAATACAACTACAAGAAACTGAGCTGAAAAACTGAAAATGAAGGAAATTCTCCTTGTTCTCTTACAAGCTACCCTTATCAGAGTATTTGTTTTATTTTAGCAGATTTTAGCTGGTAGCAAAAACTAGTGTCATCATCAATGTTATTTTATGTATGTTGCTAGTTTTTACAGTTTAATAAGAAAACAGAACATGATCGTGATTTACTCAGTTGTTTTTACTCTACACATTATCTGTAAATCAAGTGAATTATTCCTATTACGTTTAGCATTATTTCTCTTAAGTAGTTTGTTGACTTTATATAATATTGTATTTGCTTCATGTAGGCTTCAGCTCTGGAAGCTCATTTGTATTGTTTTAAAACTGTAAATCAAGACACTTGATTTTCAAGATGGCAGAGTAGAGACATTTGTACCCTCTTCTATCTGAAATTACCCTGAAATTACAAGGAAAATGAGAAACAGAGATTGTATCTTTGATGAGACCAGAAATCCTAAGACCCCAAATCAGAATATTTGAGAAATGGTTGTCAAATGTAAGCAGGAAGAGGTTAAAAAAGGATGCTAATTGGAAGAGATCTCAGATACAGTTTGTAGAGTGATATGAGAGAGATCATCTGTTTACAGGGGGATCCGGGTGTATAGGAAGGCAGCGGGAGTTTCCTCGGATTGTTTGGCTGCATGAACTAGCAGGAAAGGAAGAGCCAATGAGAAAACACAGACACACCCACCATCTTGCAGGAAGTACTTTCTTGGTAAGGCAAGAAGTCATGGCCAAACAACTTTCTCTCACTTGTTCTCAAGACACATTCTCTTTGCCTGTTTTTGTCACACACACATGCTCAGAACACTGTCATAAAATGCGTTCTTGTATATCAGAGACTACCTTCTAGACCAGAACACAGCCTACTTCTTCCTTCCATAGTCCCCTCCAAATAATTAGTCTGAATAGAGTTCACATCATCTACAAGTAAATAATAAAATGGAAATGGGCACAGTATCTACACAAAAGTGCTGCAAGAAAAAAGGAAAAAATGAACAGGGAAAAACAAGTGACAAAGGACCCATGAGAAAACTGTATTGGCCTAACAAATTTAATGAAATAATCACTTCTTTAAAATAATAGAGAAAGTTAATTGACTAGGGAGAAATAGTAAGACAACAGGATGTGATAAATCATATTCTGGCGGAACTCAAGAAAAGAAAGAAAGAAAATCAGAAATAAAAGACCATATTGAAAGCAAAAAAGGAGAATTAACATTGTTGAAAAGTCAGTAAAGGGCATGTTGATGGACTTTTGAAAATTGAACAAAGTAAAATGAGAATGAAAGGAGATGAAACAAATGCTCATTGTATCCTGGAAATAGAGAATTCAGCATGAAAGCAGAAAAATACTCAAACATATAACTTAAACTGCTAAAAAGGAAATCTTAGTTCTATAGATTAGGCACGTAATGAAGGAAAGCTAGTGTACGTTAACCCTTGAACATTGTGAGATTAAGGACACTGACCTCCCATACAGTTAAAAATCTGTGTGTTAACTTTTGACTCCCCCAATTCTTAACTGCTAATAACCTAACCTACCATTGACCAGAAGTCTTATTGATAACAGTTGATTAACACATATTTTGTATATGTATTATATGCTGTATTTTTACTATAAAGTAAGCTGGAGAAAAAATGTTATGAGGAAAATCATAAGGAAGAGAAAGTACATTTACAACTTTAAATAATCCATGTATAAGTGGATCCATGTAATTCAAACCTGTGTTAAAGGGTTAACTGTATAGTCGTCAACATCAACCTACTTTTTAAAAATTGGATTTCAGAGTTAAGGAGTGCATTCTCTGCTCATTTCATTAAAAAAGTCAGTTTACCTATAGAGGAGTACTGGGGGAAGGATCAGATATTGTCAAGGAGATATTTGGCATTATAGGACAGTAGTATAAAACCTACATACAAGTCATCAGGGGAAAGAAAGTATGACCTCAGCACAGTTATCAGTTGATAAGTGTATTTCAACAATGCAAGAACTCAAGGTAAATAATATCTATTAAGTTTTTTGATAAACTGAGACGATGAAAATCAGCCATCTAGTAGATGAATGGAGATGATAGAGCAGAAGGCTTGGCAGGGAAGATATGAACAAGAACAAAAGAACTGTGGGATTTGTAGCAACAGAATATAATAGAACTGAAACAAGGTAGAAATAATAAAAGTCAAGATTGAAGGAGGAAAAAAAGGAGGGTGAGTATAAATTTGCTGATTTCCTCTTATTTTTCAGCTGGAGAACAAAGGACAGAAAGTTTAGACATCAAGTAATAGAGGTGTCGGTATATTTAAAGGAATAAAGATGAACACTTGAAGAACTAAATATATGTTTAACCAAAATCAGGGCAGACTAGGTACAAAGAGGTAGAACTATATTAAATGTTTTATCTTTAATTGTCAGATGCAACCAAAGGTGGAAGGACAAAAATTTTTATTTTTACGCTTTATTTACATTTGCAAAAAGACTGAAAACGTATGTGGGATATTTATAAAAACTGACCATATCCTAGGTCACAAAAAACAACAAAAAGCTATCATACAGATGATGTTTCCTGACAAAATTTTCTCAGTTTCTTCTTTGGAAGTAGTTAATATGCTCAGCAGCATCAGCATGGCCTGGCAACTTGTCAGAAATGCAAATTCAGAAGCCAGATCTACTGAATCAGGAACTATAGAAGCCCCCAAATCTCCATTGGCCAAATTTTATAGATATCTTGTTCATGTTTGGTATTTGCAATTGTTATTTGTAGAATGACATGATAAATATTTTTGTTCTTTCATGTTAGGTCTCATATCTGATTATTTAGGAGGAAATTAGCAAATCGAAGAATGTTCTATAGAACTTCAGGTGACGTTTTCTCTATTTTTGTGGTGGTTATTAGAGGTGAAAAATTAAAAATAGGTTTTTGTTTTTTTAGAAATATCTTTTTGTTTACAGAAAACAAGATTATCTTCTTATCCAAAAAAGATGAAATCAACTGAGTTACTCTCAAAAGACAACCAAGTGAGCACCGCAGACTAATGAGTAGAATCAATAAGAACGTGGTATTGGCGCTTTTAACTTTGACAAGTTCTGCATTTCTGCTGTTTCAGTTGTACTACTACAAGCACTATTTATCGGCAAAGGTAATATCTTTTTCTCTCTTCTCATCATTAGGCTTCATTTTAACTGTATATTTTTCTAATTAAACTTAATTAAATTTAGTTAATTTTAATTAGTTGCAGTTTTTCAAATTCTTGCAGAAATAGTTTTTTTTTTTTAATTTTAAGATTTCATTTATTTGACAGAGAGAGAGAGAGACCACAAGTGGGGGAGGAGGGGCAGTAGGCAAAGGGAGAGGGAGAAGCAGGCTCCCTACAGAGCAAGGAACCCATCAAGGGCTTTGATCCCAGGACCCTGAGATCATGACCTGAGCCAAAGGCAGACACTTAACTGATTGAGCTACCCAGGAGCTCCTAGAAATAGATCTTACTGAGATTCTCATCTTTGTAAAGTGTGGCGAGCAATTCAACATTGTAGTTAAATATTATTATAACAACATACTAGTCAAAGTGCCAAGTTTCAGTAATGTTTATTGAATTTTTTTTCTGTTACAGTTATATAAAAACTATTATTCTTCCAAACACATCATCCCTATTGGGAAGAATTCAGTAATACATAATTTTGATAAAATACCGAAATTGGTTTATTTTAGTACAATGTACTTCTCCCTCCCACTCTAGGGGAGGATACTTCTCTGCCCTAGTTGAACTTGACCATGAGACTTACTTTGGCTGGTGGAATGTTACAGACACGTGCAGAAATTTCAAAGAGATTGTTATGATGTGACTTGCCCTTTGTGTAACCCTGACTAGAATGTGCCCTGAGTAGATTCTGCTTCTCCAGTCTGGGCCCTGGATGAGATGTATGAAGCAGATCAAAGCATAGCTGCCCAGCTTGACCCATGGATCTAACAGAAAAAATAAATGCATGGTAGCGTTTTAAGACTAGGTCAAGTTTATTATGCAGCATTGTTATGTGGAGTTGCTAGATCTCATTTTACAGATGAGAAAACCAAAACTCTAACAGAGAACATAACTTGCCTCCCTGAATCACCCAATTTCTAACATGCAGGGCTGACAGCTTGTCCATTCTTTGCAGGCTAACTTATTTCTGAAATAATTGGCAAGTACCCAGGCTACCAGCTATCTTGGCTGTTTATCCAATGAATGTCTTTGTGTGCCATCTTCAACCCCCTCCTGAGTACTTGCTCGGGAGAAGGTCCTAGAGTAGAATTTCTGGGTCTAATGTGCATGTTTTAGATTTTGTCACATATCGCAAAGTTATATTCCATAAGGATGAGTAGTGTGTCTAATTTCCTATCCCCTTTTCAAATGTAGGAATAATAGCAACAGTAACAACAGTAATGGCATCTGTATTAGTTAGAGATGTTTGGGGCTGACTACTAGTAGCTTAAACAAATAGAGGATTATTTGTCTCTTCTGCCTTTAAGTCCAAAGCTTCTCAAATTCTTTTGATGTTTTCCTTGTGCTAGACAAGGCTGGAAGAAGACATAGTACATTCTAAAAGGCTTCTACTTTTGTGACATTTGCCTGCAGATTTCCAGATATAAGATAATCTGGGAAAGCAAGGTTTTATTACTAGTGTTGTTGTTGTTGTTACTTAGCTTTTCCAGCCTATATAATAGAGATTGCAGAGGAGAAGTGTGAGAGTGGGGGTCAGGTCAACTTACCTACAGTGTCTGCTATAGCAGCTACATCTTTTGGTGTGCTTCTAGGCTTGGCACTGTGCTAAGCATTGCACATATATTTTATAAGAACAGCAAATTAAGTATATCTTGTACTTTCTGTTTTCCTGGAGAAAAAGCTGAGGTTTGTTGTTGAGATTTCTTAATTTGTCAACTGTCACATTTTTTTTTTTTTTTTTGAGAGAGAGAGAGAGAGTGCAAGTAGGGGGAGAGGCAGAGAAAAGGGAGAGAGAGAATCTTAAGCAGACTCCACACTGGGCATGGAATCTCAGTCTCACGACCCTGAGATCATGACCTAAACTGGAATCAGGAGTCAGATGCTTAAACCAGCTGAGTCACCCAGGCACCCTATGTCACATAATTATTAAGTGAGGGAGATAGAATTTAAACCTAGGGAGTCTACCCCCCAGAACCTTGTTCCTAATATTTTTAGTGTTTTTGATGTTCAAAAACTGAAAAGATATTAAACTCCATTATAGGTCATTTATTTGATTACTACTGGGGCTAAACTTTCCATATGCTTACTGGTTCTTTCTGTTTCTTTTTTTTTTCTTACTTCTTTGTATTCCTACCTGCATATTTTTCTGAGGGTGTGTTCTATATAATTTTAAGGATGGTATACCTTTATCAGACATATATCGAACATTTTTCCTGATTTATGAATTTGACTTTTAACTTTATATTCATGATATAACCCCCCGTAATACATTTGTATTTAATTTCTAGGTAGACAGCTGTCTTCCTTAAGGCATCTGGTTTTTATGTTATAAGTGGTCCAAGATTGTGGAAATATGCACCTATATTTTCATCTAATACTATTCATGTTTACATTTTTTAATTAAATAGAATTTACTTTAGAATGAGGTATGAATTAGATATCTAACTTAAATTTTTTCCCAAGTGGTTGACCATTTGTACCAATATCACCTTTTTAATTCCATCATTAACTTAAAAATCCCATCTTAATTATACGTTAAATTCCTATAAATATTATCTTGACCCTTTCTTTTGGAATGCATTGTAGTTTTAGTTGTTTAAAGCACAAACTCCAGCCTAGGACTAAACCGTATCTATACTGCTTATTAGCTATGGGATCTTGGGTAAATTACTTCTAAATGCTGTGCCCTCATCTATAAAATAGGGAGAATGACAGTACCATCTTGTAGACTTATGAAGCTTAAACAAATTAATTAATGCACATAAAACCTTTGGAGCAGTGCATGTCACATACAGATCAAAAAATACAGGCTTTTTATTTTTTTTGAGGAAAGATGTTACCTGACCCAAGGTTTATTTTTTTTTCAAGTAATATCATTCAACACTCATTCATTTTATTTCAAGTTTTTATTTAAATTCTAGTTGTCATATAGTGTAATACTGGTTTCAGGAATAGAATTTAGTGATTCATCACTTATATGTGTAGCACCCAGTGCTTAATCATAACAAGTGCCCTCCTTAATACCCACCACCCATCTAGCCCATCCCCCACCCACCTCCTCTATCTCAACCCTCAGTTTTCTATAGTTAAGAGTTTCTTACAGTCTGCCTATGAGCTATTGTTTTAAAGATTTATTTATTTGAGAGAGAGAGAGAGAGAGAGAGAGAACACAAATGGGGGGAGAGGCAGAGAGTGAGGGAGAGAATCTCAAGCAGACCTGCTGAATGCAGAGCGTGATGTTGGGCTCGATCCCAGGACACTGAGATCATGACCTGAGCCAAAACCACAAGTTGGATGCCCAACCAACTGAGCTACCCAGGCACCCCATGAGATATTTTTTTATTATTATCTTCAGTTTTATAATCAAAAGTTGTATTTGTTATATTGTATCCATGGCATATAAACTGCCTTAGTGATAAGTGCCATTAAGCAAAATTGAACAAAATAAGGCATAAAATTTTAAAAAGTTCACTAAACTTGTATGCTCTTAGATTTGCGAAGTTTGTATTTGTATTAGAGTTATTTTTTATGTTCACTATTAATCATAGGTAGAGATGAACATCTAAGTTTTGAAATAACAAAGGTTACTTTTATTGAAAAATATAGAAACTATATTAAACTATTCCTAGTCAAGTAATTTTACATTTTACAAAATGGAATTTTAAACTTTATTAATTCAAAAATTTTTATTTAAAAGTCACTTTTGCCAGGCATTCTGACAAAGTGATAGAAACAATGAGAAATGGTTTATTCTATATATTTATGATTTGTTTGGCTTACTGCAAGTCAATTTGTTTGAGCCTCATTTTCTTTAAAATGGGACTAATAGCAACTTTGCTGGTTAAGATAATGTATGTAATTCATCTAACTTACTGTTTGGTATATGGTAGAAGCTATTAGTAGCTTATACATTCTGGTCCTTCTAAGGTTTACATTGCTGTTTGAAAATTAAATTGTATTTAATTATTACAGGTTTCTCATGAGCCTACATTTATCAGTTTTTCATAAGTGAGTTATCTGGGGCCCAGATATGTTAAGCTTCCTGCTGAAGATTGCCAAGTTCAGATCCTAAAACTTATGTCTTTACTCATAGAGCTAATACCACATGTAAATATGAATATGTTCAAATGAAATACTATAGCATTGATAAGATATGAAATGAGATGGCTGTAAAGTATTATGAATCACAGTAAAAAATTATAAAATATTACTGCCTCAGTGGAAGGAAGAAAAGTCAACAACCTATGTTTATATAAAGCACTGAGTGAACCAAACTGATTTTGGTTTTTTAAGATTTTATTTATTTATTCATGAGAGACACAGAGAGAGAGGCAGAGACATAGGCAGAAGGAGAAGCAGGCTCCTCGCAGGGAGCCTGATAGAGGACTCCATCCCCAGACCCCGGGATTATGACCTGAGCCAAAGGCATATGCTCAACCACTGAGCCACCAGGCGTCTCAGTTAATGATGTTCTTGACTTACAACCATAAGCAACATCAGTACCTGCAATATCCAGCTATTCTTATTACCTAGAAAGCCACTTACAGGGTTTTGTGCTAGGATGTCTTTCTTTGCATTATATGTAGTAACCTCTGTGTGTTTGGTTAGAAGACCAGGAGGGAAGAAAGGGGAGTTTGGATTTCAAGTTTAACAATAGTCATTCACAGTGAACAATTTTATATGCTGTTATTAGAAATGGAAATAAATCTGGTAGCCATTTAGATCATTTGCAACAAAGATTTTTGAAATATTTTGAGTTGGTCAGTTGTTGGCTAAAATCATGCAAGAAATGATTTTAAAAATATCTTCTTTTCTTAATAATAAATTTATTTTTTATTGGTGTTCAATTTGCCAACATACAGTTAACAATATCTTCTTTGGCTATAGGCTCTTATGTTCTGAAGGATAATATATGGGTCATTGCTGGAGGAAAAAAATTTTATCTGACAATCTGATCTAGTATGATAAACTTTGATAAATGCTGTTGTCCTCTTCCTAATTTTTCCTCCACATCTCCCCGGCCCCATTATTGCCATTGTTCAGGAGAAATGGGAAAGAATTTCTTCCATTGGAATTGACAGATACTGAAAAAATATTTCCATGTGTTCCCAGACTTCAGACTTCATAGGTTTTCTGGCCAAAAATTTTGGCTTACTAATAAACAAAGCTTTCCCACCATCCCACATCACATTTATGAGTCCTATCCACTAAGAACTTGAGTGACTTGGGAATAAGTAAAAGAACAGTGCGTCCACTGGAAGGAAAGGCACTGAGATCCAGAAGGGGAAAGCTGCCTGTAGGATTGGTGGATTTACCATGATTCGTGTTTCTGATCCTTAGGATCGCAAATGTATAAATAATTGAAAAAGATCAGTTATTAAAGACTTAAAAAGATGTTCTTAAGTCTTACTCTTCGATTCTCTGTAGGCAGATTAATGATCATGGCTTGAACAAGGGATCTTGTCATGAAAAGTGGAAGAGTTCATGAAAAGTGGTAGAGTTCATGAAAAGTGGAAAGTAAAGCTGTCAGAATTTGTTGATGAGTTAGTTATTAGATGTAAAAGACAGAAAGGAGTCAGGGATAATTTGAGTGTTTTGGGCCTACTTGGAAACGTTGCTAATTGGGAAGTTGCTATTTACTGAGATGGGAAAGACAGGAGAAGCAAGCTTGAGGGATGGAGATCTGAATTTGAGATGCCTATTTGACATACAGGTGAAGAAGTGAATAGAGTTGAATATATAAGTTTGGAATTCAAAGGACTGGTTTGGTTGGAAATATAAATTGAAAGTTGTAAGCGTGTAGATTTTATGTAAAGCCTTTAGAGTAGATGAGTTACCAAGAAAGTGAACAGTGAGTAAAAAGAGAAAAGTCTCATGGTCTGAGTTTTGGGATCCTCCAATACATCAGGGAGGTGGAAGAACTAGCAAATGAGAACAAGAAGGAGCAGCCAGAGAGAAATCCAGGAAAACTAGAAGTATGGGGTTCTGAGAGCCAAGCAACTGAAGTTTAAGTGAGACAGCAATGGGATCCCTGGGTGGCGCAGTGGTTTGGCGCCTGCCTTTGGCCCAGGGCGCGATCCTGGAGACCCAGGATCGAATCCCACGTCGGGCTCCTGGTGCATGGAGCCTGCTTCTCCCTCTTCCTGTGTCTCTGCCTCTCTCTCTGTGACTATCATAAATAAATAAAAAAATTAAAAAAAAATAATTAAGTGAGACAGCAATGATCAATAATTCTTGTTAGATCAAATAAGGAGTAATAATTGACCATTGGATTTAGCAACGTGGAAGTCATTGGTGATCTTGATGAATACTTGGAAGAGTGAAATTAATCTTGTGAGCTCATGGGAAGAAAGGAAGCAGAGGCAGTGAGAACAGACAACCTATTAGGGGTTTTGGTTGAAGGAAGACAGAAAATTGTTAGTTGGCAAGAGGAGTTTTTTCTTTTGTATGTTTGTTTGAAGATAGGAGAAATAATACCATGTTTCTATATTGATGGGAATGATCCAGCAAAGAAAACAAAGCTCAGAAATTGTGTCTCATCTACTAATGGAGGGCTAAGTAAGCAACAAGGGCTATGTCACAGAGTTTGCAATCTCTTTTCATGGATGAAGATTACAAAGCTATCTCTTTGTGGTTTGTTATCAAATATCCCTTGGTATGAAAATATTATTGTCAAATTGAGAGCTTATGAGGAGAGACCAGTTCTCGCTCTATCTTACCCAGTATATCTGTTCCTCTTTTCCGCTCTCCTTCCCTGCATTTAACAAACCATCATTAAACATTTACTCATTGCCCAGCAGTATGCTAGGGCACTGTCAATACAAAGAAGGATTGGATTCAGTCCCTGCTCTTGAGTTTGCAGTTTAGTGGGGCTCCTTTTTAGGAGCCTGGGGCATATTTCATTTTTAGGATAAGGCTATTCTTTCTTCTTCAGTATCCTCCCATCTACATCTTCTAGGTAAAGAACACACTCAAGGCATAAGAAACTTCTCTGGATCTTCTTTCAGCTTGAAGTATTCTTCCTGTTGTCTCTAGGCCATCAGACATTCTTTTTCCTTATACTTTCAAAGTATTTTGGGGCTTGTCAGATGAAAACTGATAATGTTTTCTTCCTTCTGATTCTCTAGCCCTGAATATTTTTTCTTAATTTTTATTTGTTAGTGGAGTAGAGTTAACACACAATGTTACATTAGTTTCAACACTGATTCAACAGTACAGTAGTACATTAGTAAATTAGTACAACACAGTGAATCAAGTCATGCTATGCTCACCACAGGGGTAGCTACCGTCTGTCATGCAGCACTATTACAGTACCATTGACTGTATTCCTCAAGCTGTACCTTTCATCCCTGTGGCTTATTCATTCCATAACTAGAAGCCTTTATCTCCCACTCTCCTTCACTCATTTTGCCCAGCCCCTCCCCACCCAGCCACCACCCGTTTGTTCTCCGTATACCAACTGAAACAAGTCAGACAGAGAAAGATAGCTTTGAATTTACTAAAATATTTTTCTGTTATCTTCTTAGAATGGAACTGGTTTATCAAAATCTAAAGGAAGCCGAATTGGATTTGATAGCACACAGTGGGTATGTACAAGCATGAAATTCCTCATTTATAGTGTTCATTTAGTTCATTTGTTTATGTACTCAATAAATATTTGTTGAATGATGACAATGGTGATAGCTATCTTCGTGGGCAGTGAGAGTAGGTGGTGGAGGGGAAGAGGTAGGCCCTGTGTCAAGTGCTTTATATACAGTATTTCATTTAGTTCTTATGGAAACTTTATTAAGTCAGTACGTATTTTTATCTCAGTTCACTTAGAAGGTTTAAGGTTAGTTGGCTAATAAGTGACTGAACCCAGATTCTAAATGTTTGCCTTCAGAATTCTCACTCACTAAACGATGGTGCATCTCCAAATGAAAAAATATGTGAATCAGAATGGAACTATGAATAAGGGAAAATAATGATTAGGAACAGAAATCTAGTCAACATGTTTACTTTTTAAGATCAAGAAAACTAGTGATATGCACAAGATATCCCTGTTTCGATTTATAAATTTTAGAGTATACATTTATAAAATATGTTTCTTTACCTTTTTTCTAGCCAAATTTAGAATGAAAAACAGTGCAAGGTTATTGGTTACTAATAAAAAATTACATTTATCCTATTAGTATACATTTTGAATATGACCATTTATTTCTTGTGGATGACTCGTCTTTGGCATCTCTTTAACCAGAGACATGAAGCTTTAGATAGGAAATGGGTTTTCAAAATCATGAAGCAGCAATGAAGTAGTAATAATTTTAGGTCATTGCTGACACCAATTGGTTTTGAACTATTATTTATTTATTTATTTATTTTTTAAACATTTTATTTATTTATTCATGAGAGACACACAGAGAGAGGCAGAGACACAGGCAGAGGGAGAAGCAGGCTCCATGCAGGGAGCCCGATGTGGGACTCAATCCCGGGTCTCCAGGATCACGCCCTGGGCCAAAGGCAGATGCTCAACCACTGAGCCACCCAGGCATCCCTGAACTATTATTTAAAAGTAAAGTCTGGGATATCCTAAATCAGCCTCAACTATGAAATATCAAAATAAACTTTTAATTTATTAAAAATATCAGATATTTTGCTCTGTGAATGTAGGAGTTATCTGAGGGGAACGGGAAAAGCCTCATCTTTTTCTTTCAGGGAAGGATCCTGAGGTAGGAGAAAATAAGGGACTTTTTTTTTTTAAAGGGTTTGCTTCCAAGATAAATGAGAAAAGATTAAAGAACAGCTCACTATTCAGTGAGTTCTCTGTGTTAATTACATTGCATGGTACTAAGAATCACTGTTTATAATTGCAGAATCATGTGGAGGGGGAGAAGTACTAAAATACTTTTGTTACAGTATTTTAGAAGGAAGGGATGAAATCTGATCAGTAAGTGTGATACTGCAAGCTGATAAGATTCTAGAATGAGTTATTAAACAGATGACTTGAGGAAAGGGAAGGATGATTATTAGGAACCAGCCTTTCACTAAGAACAAGTCCCGCCAAAGCCCTTGTAGATGAATAGGCTCTTACAGTCTCAGTACACCCTGCTATCAACAAGACATTTTTCTTCCTTCTAAACAAAACGAATTACTGAAGGTCTGATGATGATAGTTATGTTTATTTAGAATTAATTGGATTTAGAGTCAATTGGACATCTGTTTCCAAGGAGCATTGATGATTGCATTGATAACAGCCTGGAAGGCATATTTAGAAGGTGAGTTAGGGAATCTCTCATCCACCCTACCCCAATCTATACTTATATCGATAATTGTAACAAAGCCATAAATGTGTTTGTCATGTTTGTATTTAACACTTAGCTGAAAGAGATTCATTCTACAAACATTAAGTACCATATATGTGCTGGTGTTTGTCACTTCATCATCTTTCTTCCAAAATCATTCTTTTATTCTCCTAGTGTGAAGCACAGAAAGCAACCACCATAAAAGAAAAAAAAAAAACCGATAAATGAGAAAATCAAAATTTAAGACATCAGTTTTTTGAAAAAAATTTTGTGAAATTGGTATTATTCCTTAAATTGTTGATAGAATTCACCTGTGAATCATCTGAATCTGGAGTTTTTTCTTGTTGCTATTGTTTATATATATATATATATATATATAAAATTCATATAAAATATATGAAACAAATATATACAAATATATAACATATATAAATATATAATGAATATATGTATATATACACATTCAATTTAGTTAACTCATAAAATATATTCATATAAAATATAAAAATATATATGAATATGTAACATATATGTATATATAAATTCAATTTAGTTAAAAGGTATAGGGCAATTCAGATTTTCTGTTTCGTCTTGTGGGAGTTTGTTAATTGTGTTTTTAAAGAAATTTATCCATTTCATCTAAGTCATTGAATCTCTTGTTTTTAAAGATTTTGTTTATTCATGAGAGACAGAGGGAGAGGCAGAGACATAGGCAGAAGGAGAAGCAGGCTCCATGCAGGGAGCCTGATAGGAGACTTGATCCTGGAACTCCAAGATCACCCCCAAGCCAAAGGCAGACGCTCAACCACAGAGCCACCCAGGTGTCCCTAAGTTATTGAATCTTTTAGCATAAAGTTGGCTTTCTAATTTTTAACTTAGTTATTTCTCCCACTAAGAGATCATAAATTCCTCTATAGCAGAGATTATTGTAGTCTTGGTATTTTGCATACTTGGCCTAAAAACAAATGGTAAGAGACTTATTACTAGCTTTATCTCATTTTTTCTTTCTTTAAAAATTTTTTTATTTTAATTCAATTTAGTTCACATACAGTGTATTATTCGGTTCAGGGGTAGAATTTAATGATTCATCAGTTGTATATAATACCACTGCTCATTCTATCACCTGCCCTCCTTAATGCCCATTACCCAGTGACCCCATCCTTCTATTCACCTGCCTTTCAGCCACCCACAGTTTGTTCCCTATAGTTAAGAGTCTCTCATGGTCTTTTTTTTTTTTTTTTTTCGCAAATTTTTTTAGATTTTATTCATTTATTCTTGAGAGAGAGAGAGAGAGAGAGGCAGAGACACAGGCAGAGGGAGGAGCAGGCTCCACACAGGGAGCCCGATGCAGGACTTGATCCTGAGACTCCTGGATCACACACTGGGCCGAAGGCAGGTGCTAAACCGCTGAGCCACTCTGGCTGCCCTCATTTTTTTTTCTATTCTTAAAATTTTTAAAAAATATTTTATTTATTCATGAGAGACACAGAGAGGCAGAGACATAGGCAGAGGGAGAAGCAGGCTCCATGTGGGGAGCCTGATGCGGGACTTGATCCCAGGATCCGGGATCAAGACCTGAGCCAAAGGCAGACACTTAACCACTGAGCCACCCAGGTGCCCCAATATATTCTTAAAATTCTTAATATCCTTATCTGTTTATTATCTTGTATATGTTTTTACATTTTTCTTCAAATTTTGTGAATAATAGTTTATCCTTAATTCTGTGAGACATCTTTTTAATGAGCATACATCCCTTTGAAATCATTATTACTTTCATTAAAGTATACTTTAAAAAAAAAAAAAGATTTTGTTTATTCATGAGAGACACAGAGTGAGAGAGAGAAAGAGACAGAGACACAGGCAGAGGGAGAAGCAGGCTCCATGCAGGAAGCCTGATGTGGGACTCGATCCTGGGCCTCCAGGATCACTACCTGGACCAAAGGTGGTGCTAAAACCCCTGAGCCACCCGGGCTGCCCTAAGGTATACTTTTAAGCAATAATGTATACCAGTTCTTCTATTTATCTTTGCTGTTCTTTGGTGTTACACTTGAGTGGGATTATTGTGTTTCTATTCTAATTTTGAAACTTATTTTTTCAGTAGGGGTCTCTACTTACTGCTCCAAAGAATTATATTTTAAAATATTACATTACTGTTAGAAAATCAAACTATATTTGGGAATAGTCAAGCATGCAATATATTTTAGTTTGAATCTTTTGCTTAGAAAGATTATTAAGCAGTATTAACAAACATGAAAAAAAGTAGCACACAGAATTGATTTTTTATTTTGAAAAGGTTGACATTACCATTTTTAAAAACTGACAGATCCGGTATTTCCTCTCCAACTTTGGCTCAAAAAGATATAGCCAATACCAAGGGAATAATTTCTAAGCCCAAAGTTTTCATCTCAGGTACAATTTCTTCTATGTTGTTCTTTTGATGTATAATTGGTAGCTTACTTTTCTGTACTTTATAGTATGTTACATATATTTTTACTGTAGCATATTTTATCATGTATTGTAAATACTTGTTCATCTTGCTTAGTATATTGTGTATATCCTGAGAGCAGGGGCCCTGTAGTATTTATCTGCTTACTCGTTCAGCATAAATAATAGACATGGTATCTTTTGAGTAAAAACTGTACATATTCTTATAAAATTAATGAATAAAAAATTTAATAAGGTGGATTATTGTATTGGTTTAGAAGAGTTAAGGAGATTCTTTTCCTCTCAAACAGCGTGCAGTTAAAAAATTTATTGTGCTAACATCCAGCCAAAATGTACCAGTGTTCCTTATTGATCCTTTGATCCTGGAATTGATTAATAAAGACTTTGAACAAGTCAAAAATACTTCTCATGGCTCCACTTCAGAATGCAAGTTTTTCTGTGTTCCAAGAGACTTTACCACATTTGCACTACGGTATCACCTGTGGAAGAATGAGGTAAGATGATTTGCTTTCACATAACAGAATGTGTCCTTTACAAAATAGTGTGGGAATAAACCAGTTTTTTAAAAGTAAAACATTTCAAAAATCTTTAAAGCTTTTTATAAATTGTGTTGGGAATATTTTCAGCTATAAGTAATAGAAGACAATTAACAAAGTAGGGACCTACTTTTCTTGTGTAACAAGAGGTTAAAAGATTGGTGCCGTTGGTATTAGCTGCTCACTGATGTCAGGGCTGGCATCACTGAAGTTCTTTCTTCATTCTTCTCATCATTACAAGATAGCTGTCCTGGTTATCAGGCATCATAATCCATGTTTAAAGACAGGAAGGGCTAGTGACACTATTTATCCTTTGAAGCAAAAATTTTCTCAGAAGCTTCTGATAAACTGCTTATAGCTCACTGTCCAGAACTAGATTCATACGTCTTCTGGTTGTAAAGGGGCCTAGGAAGACAGGTGTTTAGCATTTCCATCAGCATAGGCAGGCAAGTAGGAAGGGTTTTGGTGATGAATATTCAGTATTTGCCACATAAGGTGTGTGAGGGCAATGTCACTAGTCCATAGCACTACTCTTTCCATCTTGAAAGCGTGTAGTACTTGTTTGATACTCATGATTCTGTGATGATGGAATTTTTGGGTAGCATTTAGCTGGGCAGTTCTGATCTCAGCTAAGCTCAGCTTCTAGTCACCTAGGCAGCTCTGCTTCTCCAGGGTGGCTTGCTGTCAAATGGAGCAGTGGAGGTATCTTGACTGTGTGTCTAATCATCCAGGCTAGTCTGAGAAAGCAAAAACATGAAAAGTTTCTTGATATTGTTAAAATATTAAGATTTCTTAACTGTGAACATAAATATACCTCCTTTCATTCAGATGCTCTTTGATGAGATTTAATAAAATACTGTAATTTTTCTAACAGATTTTACACATTAAAAAAGATTTTATTTACTTATTTAGAGAAAAAGAGAGATCATACAAGTTGGGGGAGGGGCAGAGGGGAAGGAAGGGAGGGAGGGCGGGCATCTCAAGGAGACTGCACTGAACGTGGAGCCCAACATGTGGCTTGATCCCACAACCCTGAGATTTTGACCTGAGCCAAACCAGGAGTCAGACGCTCAACCAACTGAGCCACCCAGGTGCTCCATATTTTGCACATTTTTGATAAGATTTATTCCTTGCTACCTTATAGTTTGTGTGTGTGTGTGTGTGTGCGCGCGTGCATGCACGCACAAGGGGTGGAGGTGACAAGATAACGTGGATATTTTACCTCTTCCTTTACTAATTCATTATTAGAGGTAGTTGAGAATGCTGTTGATTTTTGTATTTTGACCCTGTTTCCCAGCTACTGTTCTGAACTCCGCACTGTATAGATAAACTTCAGTTTCTTCCCTGTCTTCTCCCTTCTTCATCCCCTTTCCCACCCTCTTTCTTTTTTCTCTTTCTTTGAATATAGCAGGTTATATTTTCTGCACAAAAAGACAATTTAGTCTCTTCCTTTCCAACCTTTACGCCTGATTTCTTTTTCTTGTGTTATTGATTTAGGTAGGATAAGATAATATTAAATAAAAGTATTCTTTATTTTGAAAGAAAGAACTTTGTATTGCTTGGATGTTGGATTTCCAGAATTGAGTCTCTCATTTTCTTGTCTTTGATTTCTTTCTCATCTATAGATTTTTCATCTCTTTTTCTAACTGTCCTACTTTTATTTTTTTTATAAATTTATTTTTTATTGGTGTTCAATTTGCCATCATATAGAATAACACCTAGTGCTCATCCTGTCAAGTGCCCCCCTCAGTGCCCGTCGCCCAGTCACCCCCACCCCCCACCCACCTCCCCGTCCACCACCCCTAGTTCTTGTCCAACTTTTAAACAAAATCTAACACTGCCATTGATTTTCTTCATATTGCTCAAAATTTTTATATTTTTCCAAAAATTTTGTGTATTTCTTATGATTCTTGTTTCATGGGTACGGGTTTTTATCTTTTTTTGCTCTGTAGATTTTCATGTTTTTTGGGTTTTGTTTAGTTGTTTGCTCCGTATTGCATTTTGTTTTTCTAAATCCCTTCATTTTGGGCATTTATTTTTTTTGTTATGGTTATTTATTTTTTTGTTGTGGTTATTTTATTTGGTTTTCATGATATAGCCATTCTTTAATGTTTGCTGATCTTTGTTCATATTTAAGAATGAGGCACTGAAAACCAGTTGGAAGCTTTCTGTTAGGGCTATGTTTCATAAACTGGTGACTTTTATGATAGAGTAATAATAAGGCTATGCCAGCTTTCTCACTGACTCCTAAATGTCAGTATTTGTAGCCCATTTCTACTGGACTGTTTGATTTCCTTATAGAAAAAAAAGACCACAATGCTTATAAGCCTTTTCTATAAAGAGTTTTTATAATGTTCCTTTGTTTTCCCAAAATGAAGTTTGACATTATAACCTGCCTACATACAGAATCCCCTAAGTCAATATAATGTCTTAATTATAATATGAATTAGAAATAAAAGGAAATGTGTATTTCAGCTTGTAAATGTTCAGTCATGACTACATTGGAAAGCATAATAAAGTAATTCAGATGGTTGCACTTTTCAGTGGGATTATTAAATATGATTAGCTTCAAATATAGACTCATATTATGAATGATACTGTTAGTAATGTGATTTTTTTAAATAATGAACAGGTTTCCAACAACAGAAAAGTAAAATTGTCTCTCCTTTAGCATAGCCATTGTATCCCTGAGAAATAGAGGTTCAGATCATTATGAACAAGTTTTTCTGCTGCAGGACTGATAGAACATTTGAAATTATTTAGGATATGGGACAGATATTCATATTTTGAATTACAGAATGTCTAATATTCCTGGCCTGAGGCTCTAAATGCCACTTGTATCTTCCTCAATCATTATGATAATTAAAAATATGCCCACAAATATTTTTAAAGATTTTACTTATTTATTTGAGAGAGAATGCACAAATGAGGGGAGAGGCAGAAGGAGAGGGAGAAGCAGGTTCCTCACTGAGCAGGGAGCCTGACACAGGATTCAGTCCCAGGACCCTGGTTTGTGACCTAAGCCAAAGGTAGACACTTAAATCAACTGAGCCACCCAGGTGCCCCTGCCCACAAATTTTTTAAATGTCTCTTGGATATGGTACCACTTGCCTTGAGAACCAATACTTTAGAAGAAAGAGACTGTGCCACGATTGGCAAGACCAATATGCAAAAGGTCAGCAATACCCAGAATAAGTACACAGGTTCATATTTATTCTTTTATACATATGACATCACATAGAGTCCTTGGATAGTCCTTCCTAAACCTTCTCCTAAGGTAGAGCTAATTAGAGTACTAGACCTAATTATTATAAACTTAATTCGTATGTGATTATTCTTTATTAATACCATTACCATAAAGTGAGCAAACTACTGCCAAAGGCATTTGGGAGTAGATTTGTGCTGTATAGCCTTGACTTAGGCCTTTGCTCTATTTCATCAGAGCAATTAGTTTGTTCTGACTTTTCTCTCATGATTATAAGAAGACAAGCCATTTCATAGTTCTACCTATTTTGTTTGTCAGTGTTTCCTCCCACATCCCAAGGTCTGATTCCCCTTCAGGGTCTTGTAAGCCTTTTAATTTTTTCCTCAATTTACCAGCTAATAATGCATTTCTTCCATCCTGTACATTCCATCTCTGAGTTGGTCACTCTCACCCTCAGTCAGTACATTCTACTTCTTAGGTATACTCAGAGAGAAAAGGAAAAAGAGGAGCCCTGCAGTTGATCAATCTAACATAAGGGAGAGTCAGGTGAAATTGCATTAGTTAGGGTAAGTTGCATTAATTGCTGTTAAAAAAAAATCTCTAAAATCTCATTAACCTAGCACAAGAAAGGAGTGATTGTCTTTATTCAAGTCCAGTATGGATATTCTTGGTCAGGGGTACTCCTGGATGACTCACCTCGAAGCAGTGACTTAGGGATACAGGCAGTTTCATTTGTGTGGTTTTTCCATCTTGGAGTTCTTTGCTTCCCTAGATGCAGACAGAAGAGGGAAAGCATGGAAGATTTTATGAAGATTGTAAGCCAGGCCTAGAAGTATTATATGATATTTCCATGCACATTTCTTTGGCCAGGACACGTTTAGCTCTATATCCGTAAGTGACAGTTGTTATTGCCAGTTAGCGTTCTCTACCAGAATTAGCACTTTCTCTCATATAACAGCATAAATAACAGTAACACCAGATATCTCTTGAGTACCTACTGTGTACTAGTTGATTCCTGTGGTTGAGGAGCTTGCAGTTATTGATGGAGTTAAACAATTAAAAAGCTGTATAATCAATATTATAATAGAGGTCTATATCTGTTACAAGATCATGATGAGGATACAGCTAATCCAAATGACAACATTCAGAAGCAGTAAGTGATGTGAATAAAGTACTCTTGAAGAATGTTTATGACTACTGTGACTTAAGACAAACTTACAGACACAGCTCCATAATTTAATAATGTTAAAGCCTGATATTACCACTTAGAGCTTTGTTATCCTTAATTGTAGACTAAGTATGATAATATCTTCCTTGCTGCCCTCAAATAGTTTCTGGGGGCATCAGATGAGATAATGAATGTGAATGAGTTTCATATACACTATATGAATATAGAATAGAGAGGTAGTATTAAGAATGGAAAGAACCTTAGATTTAGTTGGAGAAGACCTAAATGCTGGCAATGGCTTTGCCTCTTATTAATTCTGGTTTTTTAGACTTCTGTGGGTCTGGTTTTTAATCTAGCATACCTCGTGCTACTTATTTTAGAAGGTAGATGTCATATGTAAATGCAATAATGTTTATAAAAGTTCCTTGGAAATTATAAAGTCCTATTAAAATCTCATGTGTTCTCAATAATTAATACTATTTAATCATCCATAGCACTTTTTGTTGGTATTAGGACTAAAAGTCTACCATATAGATTAATCTTGTTACATTAGATTTTACTGTAATGATGTTGGAAAATGTACTTGTTTGATAGTATGTCTCAGTATCTTTTCTAATTGGTATTATGATGGACTTCTATTGAAGTAGCAGTTTAAGGTGTTGGGATATAAACTATGAGATGAAAGTATTCTTCTTTTGAAGTATTTTGGAAGATACAGATTAATAGAAGTTAAATTGAAAATTGAATTTTTTGTTTTAAGTGCTATCCTTATATTAACAATTACTTTGTAGATACTATCCAGAGAACACTAATGTGAGCATTCTCTTTCCAAGGAAGAAATTGGTACTAATTCGCATAAAGAGAGTTTGAATGTATCCTCCAAGCTATGTAGTTCCCCTTTCTGGTATGCTTCTTTATTCTACCATCACCACCTTCCCCCTTGCCACCCTTAGTTCTAAATCTTCAGGCAAAGAGCACGTTAGCATAAAATATGTATGGCTTAATTCAGTGTAAAAGTCACTTTAGTTTTGCTACCAGCATTTGGTTTTAAATATTTAAGCTTGATGTTTCTTTGGTTTTAGGAAGGCTGGTTTCGGATAGCTGAAAATATGGGATTTCAATGCCTAAAGATCGAGAGCAAAGATCCCCGGTTAGATGGCATAGACTCACTTTCTGGAACTGAAATTCCCTTGCACTACATCTGCAGATTGGCCAATCATGCCATCCACTTGGTGGTCTTTCATGAGAGGAGTGGCAACTACCTCTGGCATGGCCATTTACGACTCAAAGGACACATGGACAGGAAATTTGTTCCTTTCCGAAAGTTACAGTTTGGTCGTTATCCTGGAGCTTTTGACAGGTAAGTTCAGGATCTAAAGGGGAGTCCTGAAACTTATATTTTCCAGTCATGAATTCTTGCTCTTTGTTTACATTTAATAATTAATATGTAATTTACACAAATCAGTTTTGATATGTAAATATTCAGTAGGAAGAAATTCATGTACATGACGCCAAGAAATATATGTAAGAACATTCATGACAACATTGTTTGTAACGCCCCCAAACATTGTATATTCATACAGTGAAATATTGTAGAGCATGGAAATGAATGAATTAATGCTCTGTGTAACAACATAGTTGAATCCTACAATGTTGAGTGACCGAGGCAAGACTTAAAATAATACAACTCTTGATTACATTTATAAAAAGTACAAACACAGGAGAAGATATGTTCATAATATATGCTTTCATAGTAAAAGTGGTCAGAAGGTACAAACTCCCAGTTAAAAGATAAATAATTTCTGTCGATGTAATGTACAGTGTGGTGACTGTAGCTACAGTGCTGTATTGTATATTTGAAAGTTGCTGAGAGAGTAGATCTTAAAAAGTGATCTCTGAGGTAACTGAGGAAAATATGCTTGATGTTTAGCTCTTTTACTTATGTTGTATTTTTTGAAGAGCTGCCAGTTTTCTGGGTTAAGTCCTTGTAATAAATCTTAACTTTTGTTTTCAGGCCAGAATTACAACAAATTACTGTTGATGGATTAGAAATTCTCATCCCAAAAGATCCAGTGCACTTTCTAGAAGAAATACCACACTCTAGGTTTATTGAGTGTAGGTATAAAGAAGCTCGAGCATTCTTTCAGGTTAGAAATAATCAAATATTGTACTTTTTAAATTAAAGGAAATGTGTGTATTTTTAATAGTTTTGGGAAGGGGTAGGGAATGAAGGGACTTATGAAAAATAGGTAAGAAATATTTTTTGGTTTTATCTATTTTCTTCTAGATTGTTTTTATTTATTTGTTGTTTATTTATTTATTTTTAGGTAGTTTAAACATTAACCTCAAGAAACTATTTCTTCCCTAGTTGAATGGTGTGTTGTTTGTGGAGACATTGTTTTATTTAGATAGACTTTTGGTAGGTTTAGCACTGGCCTTTGCTTTAGGTTAGGACACCCCATACACTTTATCAAAGGTGGTGTGTTCTTGAAGCACCCCAGTTAGGATGAAGCCACTGAAGATGGACCATATAGATTTGGAAAAGATTTCATGGAAAATACAGTTTTTCTCAGAGGGTTGACAATGAATATGAATTTTTTTGTGTTTATGAAGGTTTTTTGAAGGTAAATGCTATGCAGAGACCAGTGCTTTTTGAACTTTACTTTATTCTGCAGCTGTAGCTTTCAGTTCAATAAACATTTATTGAAAGCCAGTTTCCCAGGAACTCTGCTGACCCCGGGGATATAAAGATGATTTTGAGAGACATGAAAGTTCAGCTCTAAGCGATGACTGGAAACAGAAATATAGTAAAAACAGATTTATGATGGATTTGGGGTACCTAATCCTTCCTCTTGCCCTTTGTTTTTTGGGATTCCCTTCCAAGAAAGCTGTAGACACATGAACAGGAAAGGAATGGAGAAATGAAGTACCAGCTGTATCATCACTAAGTGATGCCCTAAAATTGTTCCCCACACCCACAAATACAAGGTTTTCCTGGTAGGCTGTGTTACTCCCATGGACTAAGGCCTGACAGCCTTCCTGGTGGGTCTTCCCAGCCCAGTCCCCTTTTCTGTAGTTGTGGAGCTATGAAACATACTCAGTCAGCCTCATGGGTGGAAAGCTGGCCAACTGCCTCTGTGGATGGGCCTACTCTCATAGGCAAGTGCTGATCATCATTTATCACGCAGTAAGTAAGAAGACACAGAAATGTAGTCTGGTGCTTGGACTTGACCACTCACTCTTCTGGCCTTAAGGGGGTTTGTTCTGGTTGCCACTTCTGTTAGAGCACTTATAACAGTGAATTAGGAGTATATGTCTTGTCCCCCTAGTAGACTATATGAACTTCTTGATGGCAGGCATCTTACTTTATTCACCTCTGTAGCCCCAGTATTTATAACAGCATCTGGCACAAAGAAAAGATCCTATAATTATGAAAGAATGTTTGGAGAATAATGTGCTCATCTGAATCAAATGATTTTTTTTTAAGGACACTTATGAGGACTCCTCTATTACCTAGCAAGCATTTGCCCAGGCTCATTTCATTGCTCTTTGTGAGAAAGCAGTGTGAAATGTAAAATGCTTCAAAATATTGACGCATCATTAGGATAGTATCAAATTTTTTAATTCTGTATTTTCGTTCTTGCTTTTGAAATTTTTAGGGCAAGCACTCAGTCAGCATTTGAGTGAAGAATATGGATGATAGATGTTCAGAGGGCTTACCATTTATAGCCTCGTAGTTTTGGTGTTTAGAGTACCATCACACAGCAAGACTATAATCCTGCCTGGAGGTTTATATTTATAGTAGGATCATGTGGAACTTTGTGTTCATTCTTTATCAGGTTGTTTGTGTCCCTCACTTGCAGCAAGGTATACTTGTGATTTCAAATTTTCTTTTCTTTTTTGCTGTTATATTGGTATTACTAATGTAGGGTGCCTAGTTAGGTTAATAACTGTTTACTCTTAATCTCTTAAATGTTTCATTGTTTGAAAATACCAGGAGAGTCAGTTTTTAAATAGAAGTGAGCATACATAACTTTGGACACTTGATGGCGCCAAACAGTCTTATATACAATGCCTGGTGTAAAACAAGCAATGAACTAATCCAACAGAGCTCATAAAACAACCTTCTAACTTTCTATTTCTAATAATATTTTTTTGGAAAAATTCTCAAACATTCAAGAAATTTATAAATAAAATACAAATATTTTTTTCCTGAACCATTTGGAAGTAAGTTGTTGACTGTATATCCCACAAATCAGATAATTTAGCATTTTCCCAAAACAAGAACATTCTCGTACGTTGTCTTAATAAAAAAAATCAGGAAGTTAACATGTAGATTTATTACCACTTAATCCCCATTCGAGTTTTGCTAATTGCCCCAGTAATGCCTTTATAATAAAAGGATCCAGTTCAGAGTAAAATATGATAAAAAGGATTTAGAATCACATGTTGTATTTAATTTTTCTTTTTCTTTCTCTTTTTAAAAAGATATTATTTATTTTGGGGGGAGAGAGAGAGTGCGAGCGGGAGGAGGGGTGAAGGGAGAGGGAGAGAGAGAATCCCAAGCAGACACTGCCCTGAGTGCAGAGCACGACCCAGGTGTTTGATCTCACTACCCTGAGGCCATGACCTGAGCCGAAATCAAGAGTTGATTGCTTAACTTACTGAGCCACCCAGGTGCCCCTGTATTTAATTTTTTCTATTTCTTTAGTTTCATCCAGTCTGGAATGATTTCATAGTCCTGTTTTTTAACTTTTATGAATAACTTTGATGCTTTTGAAGATTACAGACCAGATATTTTGTAAATTGTCCCTTGTTTGAGGTTCATCTGATTTTCCCTCATATAAGATTCAGGTAATACACCTATAATAGGAATAACAGAAGTGATTCTGTGCTTTTCTCATTACATCAGATGCTGCATGGTTGTGATTTGTCCCATTACTGTTGATGTTCACACTGATCACTCGATTAAAGTGGTATCTCTAGCTTCACCCTTGTCAAGGTTCTGCTTTTTCCTTTGTTACCAATAGAAACTTGGCATGAAGGCACTTTTTTTTTTTTAAAGATTTATTTATTTATTTGAGAGAAAGTTTGTGCAGAGTTCACGAGAGACACAGGAAGAGAAGAATCCCAAGCAGACTCCCTGCTGAGCATGGAGGCCACCATGGGGCTCAGTCTCAAGAGCTATGAGATCATGACCTGAGCCGAAATTGCCAGTCAGAAGCTCAACTGACTGAGCTACCCAGGTGCCCAGAAGGTACTTTCAAACCAAGTAAATATTGCCAGTATTGCCAAAATATTGGCGCCTGGGTGGCCCAATTGGTGAGGTGTGTTGGACTCTTGATTTCAGCCCAGGTCATGAGATTGAGCCCTGCATCAGACTCTGTGCTGGGCATGGAGCCTGCTTAAGATTCTCTTTCTCCTTCTGCCCCTCTTCCCACACCAGGTGCACGATCTCCCTCTTTAAAAAATTGTTAATATCCTTATCAGTCTTTCAATTTATTTGTTTACATCCTGTTTGCTATTTTATTCAACAGGTTATAGTCCATTCTTTTCTTTTTAATTACTTATATATATTTTTTTAGTAATCTGTACACCCACCATGGGGCTTGAACACACAACCCAGAGATCAAGAGTCACATGACCTTCTGAGTCAGCCAGGCAACCTCTTTTATTTTCATTATTTACTTTCATCCTCAAATTCTTTCTTATTTGGCCAGTGGAAACCTCTTCATGGTGGCTTCCATGGCTTTTTGACATGTCTTCTTCATTTTTTGAGTTCTGTTTTACTCTTTGGCTCTAGGTTCATCCTTTAATTTCCCTGCTGCAACACCAGAATCAACTGTTTCTCTAAGTTCTGATTCCTTTTATTTTTTATTTTTTTTAATATCTATCTATTCATTCATTCATTCATTCATGAGAGATAGAGGGAGGCAGAGACACAGGCAGAGGGAGAAGCAGGCTCTATGCAGGGAGTCCAATGTGGGACTTGATCCCAGGACTCCAGGTTCATGCCCTGAGCCGAAGGCAGGCGCTTAACTGCTGAGCCACTCAGGCATCCCCTGATTCCTTTTAGAAGCCAAGATTTGGATGCCAGGTGTGTTCATTGCTACTTGGTTTTTGTTGCACACAAGCCCTCTCAGTGACTCTGTGTGTGTGTGTGTGTTGTGTGTGTGTGTGTGTGTGTTTCTGTATCTATCTATTGAGATCCATAAATTTACATTGATATCACCACCATTCCAACTAATTTATGTTTCATTTAAACAGCCTAGGGTTTATTTCCTTATTTGTGACTCCCTTCTCAAAAAGTGAGAAATTTGACTTCTGTTGTTCTTAATATATTTGCTTATATGTCCAATCACCTGTCATTGCTTCTGTCCCTTTTCCCACATGGTTGCTGTCCTCACTCTGCTTGAATGTTGCTAATCTCCCCCTGGGCTGCCTCCATCTATGGACATACTTCTCAAACTGCTTCCGGCTCTGACTCTGCACACTGGACATGGAGGGGGTGTCCTCTCCATGTGGATTCCCTCATCACTTGATTCAAGCTCTGATGCCCATACCCAGCTACCATGAGCATTTTCTTGCTTTGCCTTACCTAGTGGTTTTAGTATTGAATAGTTCTGGAAGGCAGGGGGAGGAGAAGAGGAAATACTCTCTTGACTTTATTTACTTCTAATTATTTTCTTAATCTACCAAGAAGTTTAGAAGTAGGATAATATATGTTTTCCTGAACTTGATTTTGTTTCAGCAGTAACTATCAAATAATACTTAATGAGTTTCAGCCCAGTCTATTGTATTCTATTGAAAAACCAGAGGGTAATACGGAAATCTGGATACCTGGCTTAGGAATATCTACAAAGCTATATTACCCTCCTTTTCTACCAATTTTTTTCTGAGATTTTGGACAAATTTCTAAGCCTTAATTTCCCCATGAGTGGGTACCTTCTGTCACATTATTTTCAGTCTATATTTGGGGGAAGATTGAGGGAAAGGTTGCCTGAATGCCAAGGATCAAATGGATATAATATTTAAATTTAGGTTTTGTCTTTTTCTAGAGGTATGGTAAGCCCTAGATTGACATTTTTAAATAGAAAAAAATAAATACTATATTTTAAAAAATCCAAAACAGATATAAAAGGCTTATAGGTGCATATCCTTTAATATATATGAGAATCAGTTCTAAGAAGTGAAATTTCAGGAAGTGTCATGCTAGGAAAGGTATATCAGAGGTGAGAGTATGTCCATGCAGGGGACAGCCTCGTAGGACATAACTATCAGAGTAATATTTTTATCAAGCAAGAGTTTTCGTGTCTGTTATTTAATCTGACCCTTTCAGTCACTCTTCTAAATAAGGCAAGTATTTATCTTTAACAAGTAAAAAACCTGAGTTTTCATTGTGCTACACAGTCATTATTGGCTGAGCATAGACTAAGTCCTGGTCTGCAGTCTTTCCCACCATACCAAGGGTAAGAATATGCGCCTCCCTTTCCAATCAAGAGAAGCTATGGCTTTGAGTATGTTTTCATCTTGAAGGGATCACATACAATTTGTATGTTCTGGAGAAGGCAACTTCTCTTCTGTGATCCCACTTTCTTCCTAGGGATAGTTTTTTCTTAAGATTCCCTAAAGTCCTTCCAGCAACTATATTTTCTCCTGCTATATTGTAGATGAATGATGGGATATTATAGGTATTATAGGTTATTATAGGCAAGGGCTAGTGTAGGAGGGGCCTAGTCATTTATTCATTTTCACATTTACCACTATATGATGCTCACATATTATGTGTCAGGCGCCATTCTAAATATGTACATCCAGTGATGGGGAGGTTTAGTACATGCCCTCAAGAAACCATCTGTATAACCTAGTGGAGGAAATACAAATAAAATCAACAATGTGAATTTAAAATGATAATAATTATAGTGAAAGTATATGTAAGTGGTAACTACTATAAAGTCATTGGACAGATTCTTTCATTTGTCTTTGTCTATTGACAAATATTTCTTTGTTCTGTATGTGCTGGACAAAAGGGCAGCACTGGAGAATAAATACATACATCTTCCTAGGAAAATTAGGGAATTTTTTTCAAAGGGTAGAATTGAGACTTGGAAGATTTTGTTAGTCAAGAGCACTTCAGATAAAGGAGACATGTATAAAGAAACAGAGGCTTGAAAAGTTATGCTATATTTGGGGAGCTAGAAGGTATTGCTGTATTATACAGTGTGAGGAAGGTCGCAATGAGGCTGGACCAGTAGTCAGGGACCAGAACAAACGTCCTTGTCTACTATGGCAAGAAGTTTAGATTTGATCCATAGGTAGTGAAGCATCACTGAAGAATCTGTAGTGTTTTCCTCAGCCTACAATATCCTAATCATGAAGAAAATTAGAAAAGCATGACTAAGTAAATGATGCTGATAATATTTGTGCAGAACTTCATAATTTATGAGATATTTTCTGTCATCCATTGTCTCACTAAATCTTCAGAGCAGCCCCGCAAAGTGTAATTCTTATCCTTTAGTTACTGATGAGGAAACTGTATCTAAGAGAGGTTTGTTCTTTCATACTCTCACTCATTCAGCAGATGTTCAGGTGCTGCTCTGGGCACTGGAGGTAAAGTGGTAGAATGAAGTCACTTTACTAGTACAGTTTGTGTTCTTCTAAGGTGATAACGCCCAGCATCAGAGCCAAAAAGAAGTGGGGCTGGACTTGAACACAGATAATCTGAGTCAAAAATCACAGGCTCTTTCTATTAAACTCTGTAGTCTCTCAAGACCAATTGAATCAGTGAATCTTGAAAATGTCACTAAGTGCATTTTGTATAGATATGCTTATAGCTCTCAGAATTAGTCTTCTTTTCTCCTAACTGCCCAGTCTGCTAAATTGTGACGTGGAGGGAGTTGATAGAAGTGGAAGTCTCATCCTTTGGGAATCCTGGTTATACTCCTTTCCCTTTCACTTGTCTTTTCTAGAATCTGCCCCTGTTGTCTTATAAAAGTGCAACAAATAAGGAAGTCTGACACTTGATTTTTTTGACACTTGATTTTTTATAATAGAAAAATTATAATATGGGATTAATTTTCAAATTTAACTTGGCCTGTCACAGAATTATTTCTAGAAATTTAGAAATGGTCGTAATAGCTGACTGTTTGTTATATCTGTAGCAATACCTTGATGATAACACTGTGGAAGCTATGGCCTTTCGGAAGAATGCAAAGGAATTATTGCAACTGGCAGCCAAAACATTAAAGAAATTGGGAGTACAGTTCTGGCTGAGCAGTGGAACTTGTCTAGGTAAAACTCTTGTTGCTTTACATTTGTCTTTTTGTCATTTTGTCCTCTGGCTTTAGGGATGACTGCTTGAGATGACAAAACATCTGTGATATTTGAAGTGTCAGACAGAATAAATGTAGTGCATGTAGCAGGAATTTATTGATTTTTTAAAGAAATTAATTTCAGAAACAGAAAAGAGTTAGGAAGACCATGTTGTGTTTACCAAAAACTATAAGTCATGTATAAAATTTATATCAGGATATATAGACTACATTTGATCTTCAGATAATCCTTAGATTCGCATTTTATTATTTCTATCCCAAAGATTGTTCTGCCATTTTAGAAAAAAAAAAGTGCTATTTCTTTATTTACACACTACACAAATGAGAGGAAGACTGAGGGAGTGTCATAAGGTCTTCCCACAAGTCTTTTCCAGGTCACTGATACTATCACTGGTTGGACATCACTGCCTTACCACATTCTATTCATTCTAAGAGGGGGAAATGAATGCTTTTCTAGAGTCCTTTTGCAAGTTGCTGTTAGAATCAAAGAAAGATTGATGGATCTCTTTCCACTATACATTACATCTTACACATTTATGTGATGTATGCTTTAAGGTTTAACTTTTTTTTTCTAAGGTTTAACTTTTTGAAGCAAGATTGTATTACAAACTATGTCATCAGAAATATTTCTTAATCACTTGTGTTGTATTATGCATTTTTAATCCATGTTTTTCTTCATTTAAGAGAAAAATGAGGGAGTTAGATTAGACACTATTTAAGGAGCCTTCCTTTTTTTTTTTTTTTTAAGTAGGCTCCATACCTAGTGTGGAACCTAGCGCGGGGCCAGAACTCACGACCCTGAGATCAAAACCTGAGCTGAAATCAAGAGTCTGATGCTTTAACTAACTGATCCGCCCAGACACCCTAAGGAGCCTTCCTTTTTTTAAAAAAAAATTTTTATTTATTTATGATAGTCACAGAGAGAGAGAGAGAGAGAGAGAGAGAGAGAGAGAGAGAAGCAGAGACATAGGCAGAGGGAGAAGCAGGCTCCATGCACGGGAGCTCGACGTGGGATTCGATCCCGGGTCCCCAGGATCGAGCCCTGGGCCAAAGGCAGGCGCCAAACTGCTGCGCCACCCAGGGATCCCCGGAGCCTTCCATTTTTAATAGTTTATGAATCTTTCATGGATGTGAGGTGTGGATTTTTCTCAAGCTAGAGATAAGACCCCATCCTAGACTTCTAAAGATCTATGTTAAAATGAAGATAAAATTTAGAATGCCAAATAGTATTGCCCAATAGCAATGCCGATAAGACAATTGTAGACATTTATGTACTTTCTGAATAATTTGGATTAAAGAATTAGAAGGATACTAGGGGAGACCCAAGAGCCTTTAGTAGTACTAAGGTATAGATTTTAGTTTTTTAGAACAGTACTATAGCACTTAATTGCCTTTTAATATTGACAATGTACTGAAAATTGCATATGAAACTGCTCTTTTTTATATGACCCCTCAGGGGCACCAGGTAGTATAGTCAGTTAAGCGACCGACTCTTGGTTCAGCTCAGGTTGTGATCTCAGGGTCCTGAGATGGAGCCTTTGTTGGGCTCCATGCCAGTGGGGAGTCTGCTTGAGTTTCCCTCTCCCTCCACCACACACTCTCTCTCTAAATTAATAAATCAATCTTTATGTTGATTTATATCAGACATGAGCTGTTCAGAGTTGCTCAGGAAAGGGATAATAGCTAAGCAAAAGAATTAAATTATATTGTGTAGCATGCCTTAAAGGCAGCCTTCATCATTAGAGGCTTATGATCAAACATTCTCAAAAGTAATGTAATTTTTTTAATGGATGGCCCACCTAACATTTTTTTTTAAGATTTTATTTATTTATTCATGAGAGACACACACACACACACACACACACACACAGAGAGAGAGGTAAAGACACAGGCAGAGGGAGAAGCAGGCTCTGTGCAGGGAGCCCAATGTGGGACTTGATCCCAGGAATCCAGGATCATGCCCTGGGCCAAAGGCAGGCACTCAACCACTGAGCCACCCAGGCATCCCCCACTTAACATTTTTTTAATTGAATTTATTTATTTACAGAGTGTGGAGCCTGACTCAGAACTCAATACAACCCCTAGATCATAACCTGAGATAAAACACCCAACTGACTGAGCCACACTGGATACCTGGCCCAGTTAACATTGTTAAAGCTGATAGTTTATCTAGAAATAAAAATAACTCATGAAAATTTTTGAGGATGCTGAGTGCTCAGAGCAGTAAAAATGAAGGAAAGAAGGAAAGAGAAAAAGAAAGAAAGGTTCTTCTACAGATGGCTCCTTATAACCATAGATTTTTAGTTTGGGATTTAATTTTTTAAAAATAATTTTGGTAAAGCACTGGAAGTCTAATCTTATGAAATAAAAACCACTCTTACAAAGATCATAGAATAGTGACTAATTTTTTCCAAACTTAAGATTTTAAAAAGTTTTCTTGTTTCTTTTTTAATTTTTAGGGTGGTATCGGCAATGCAACATTATTCCTTATAGTAAAGATGTTGACCTAGGAATTTTTATACAAGATTATAAATCTGATATTATTTCAGCATTTCAGGATGTAGGACTTCCACTCAAACACAAATTTGGGAAGGTCAGTAGTAACAATCTGCTTTACTTCATAAGTAACATGTCTCAAAGATAAAGTTTATATTAAACAGTTCAGAGATGGTTAAGAATGTTGCACATGTCATTTTATCACTCAGTATTGGCCAGGATGAGATCAAGCAGAAGTTTCTTATGTGACTTCTGGACTCTTTAAGGAAAACCAGAAAAATCTGACTTTCTGTTGACAATGAGAAGGAGAAAAGGATCTTTTGAACTCTTGAAGGCAAGTTTATTGCCATTATGTTAAATAACAATATAACATAATTAATATACTGCATAATGTAAAATTAATACAATTATTAAGAGTCCCACCCACACTACCTGAAGTTATATTGTTTCTTATGAGTCACTTAATTTCATGTTCACTTAGGTGTCCTGTCATTATCAATGTGAAATGGTCCTTTGGTAGCTAAGGGTTAGAAATATAGAATCATTTCAAATAGTACTTAAATTTCTTATCTATTTCACATGTTCTGGGTCACAGCAATTTTCTCAGAGTTAAACTAGGAATAGGTCATCATGACTTAAATGAAATTTCCTTTTAGAAAATTTGATTTAATTTCTATGCCCCAAGCCCATGATTCCTTGCAAACATCTTACTCTTTTTTTTTTTGCAAATAACATCTTACCCTTAATGTGTTAGTTCATAGGGAAATGTTGTCCTGGAAAGCAAGTAGAAGCATATTTAGTCACTAACAAATTATTTTCTTTATCGTAATTCTAGTTTATATGAAAATTTAATAAAATGTTTTTCAGAAGTTAGAGTCCAAGCAATAGAACTCTAGGCATGCAGCAGATGTTTACTGTACACTCACTGTATGCCTGGCACTGCCTCTGCACCTGGACACAAAGATAAGTAACAGTACTTATCCTTGAGGTGTTCACTGTCTAATTGGGGAAAAAAACACATAATAATTATGTGATTAGTGCTATAACAAGACAGATACATCAAGACTAATGGGAACATAATTATTTGTTAAGAAACTTAAATCATTAAGTTTCTTTAGGGAAATGCTCTCAAAATTCTTTGTACCTTTAACTTTTATTTCTTCCTCTTTTTTTAAGTACATAATGTAATGATTTATGGTATGTAGATGAGTTTCTATGATAACCGCATTTACCTAGGTACTTATTATTGATTGAGATGAGAGACTTATTTCCTAACAGTTTTAGTTGATTATTAAAGGGAATCATTTTTCTTGATTCCTTTCCTTCTTTAGTCAGAAACGGGCTCAGGAACAGGATGTTCTGCAGAGCGGTAATTTAGCTACTGTAAATCATTTCCTCTGAGTTTTCATTAATTGTCAGAAGCAACATTTTTTATATGCATTTAAGAAATGAAATTATGTCATGCTACTGATAAATCCCATTTTCAGAGGGTTTCAGCTTTAAAAAAATGTTAGAATCAGTATTCTCTCTACAAAACAAAATCTTTTTTTTTTTTTTTAATATACTTTCTTCATTTCAGTCTGTGAAAGTTTTCGTCTTCCTCCTAGGTAGAGGACAGCTTGGAACTATCTTTCCAGGGAAAAGATGATATAAAACTCGACATTTTTTTCTTCTATGAAGAGACTGACCATATGTGGAATGGAGGCACTCAGGCCAAAACAGGAAAAAAATTTAAGTATGAATCAGATAAGTACTTATAAAAGGGGCCAGAGAAATAACTTCAGAAGGTAGAAATGAGGAAGCAACTGAAAAAAAACAAATAAAAGACTGTCACAATTAACTTATTCTTCCTCATTTTACCCATAAAGCCCAATTATGTTTGGAAAGTATGGACTGCTGATAAGGACAGTTTAAAAGGAGGAAGTGCCCCTGGGACTTCAGTCTAAAGAGTCATTACGATTAGAAGCCTTTGAGGCATCCGAAAGGGAAAAGCAAAACGGCACACTGTGGCCAGAGCCGTAGCCCCAACACTAATTGGCTTTTTCAATAGTAAGAGCTTGTTAATTTGATGGAAATGGGCAAAGGGTCAGTAAGAAGGGGATAGTCAGGGTGAAGTGAAATTTAAGTGAGGATGTTGGGACTGAACTGCTTTGAAGCCATGAATGCTCAACAAGCTGTAGAATATGACTTCAACAATAACTGCGGGCTGATCCTTAAAGTATACTCATTGAGCTTAACAGCTACCATATTTTGTCAAATTTAAGATGATATGGATTATAAGATGCACCATTATTCTTTGTGCTATGAAGAAAGGAAAAATACTGCCAATTATAATTCTAAGACACATGATTCACAGATGGAAAAATTTGGGTAGGGAGAAATGTTTCAGAATTGATGGAGTGCAGTATGTTAGATTGACATTTTTAACATTTTTTTTTAATGCTGTTACAGTAAAACTTTCTGATGAGAAAAGACAAAAATGACATTAGAGCCATTATGTTCTCCTTTATGATGCAGTTGACCTGTTCTCAATTCTGAGAGGGAAAGACAAAGAGAGGTGAATGGATGGGAACAGGAGCCCACAGAGCATGGGCTTTGGAGTCAGACAGACATGGGAGACTTCAGCTACACCGTAACCAGTTCGTGGCCTTTAGCTTTTCTGAACATTAATCTCCTAGTCTGCTAACTTTGGATAGTATTACTGTGTTTGACTATTATGAATATTTTGCATCTGTTAACATATAATCATCAAAACAATCTTAGGAGGCAGGTATTCGGTGAGGTGCTGATACTGTAAGTAGTTGTTCCAAGACTACACAGCACATAAGTGAAAGACTTAGACAGCAACCTGGCCTTTAGCCACCACTCCTCACTGCCTCCCTAATACACCTCACAATTTGAGGCACCTGGCAAAATGCTTAGCACTTACTCAGTTATCAGTAAAAAATGTGGTTATCATTATTATGATTACTAATGTGATTATTATCATTATTATGGTAGTTCTGTGACCCGAAGCATAAATTTGCCTCACTAACTAGCTAAGATTGGAGCTTCTATTGTTGAATACATTTGAGCCATTGGGCAGGGTGGGGAATTTCTATAACACAGAAGAGAAATGTCGTTTTCAGACTGGTTTTTCCTGGGTGCATTGACAACCCTGTTGATATTGCTGAATCTTTATTTGAAGGTAAGGAGTCTTCATGTACCGTTGAATTCTCATTATAAGGTTAAGCTCTGATTAGAAGACAGAAATTAACATAAAATTGACATTCTCACTGTGGCTAGGTGAATGGGGGTAAGTGTTTATAACATTAGCTGTAGTTTGTTTATCCAAATATAATAAAGAAGCTGAATTTGGAGGTGCGTGGGTGACTCGGTTGAGTGTCTGACTCTTGGTTTCAGTTCAGGTCATGATCTCAGGGTCATGAAGTAGAGCCCTGCATCAGGCTTCACATTCAGTATGGAGTCTGCTTGAGATTCTCTCTCCCTCTCCCTCTGCCCCTCCTGCTCGTGCTCACTCTCACTCTTTCTCTAAAATAAATAAATCTTTAAAAAAAAATTGGAAAGTTAAAATTAGTGTATGATTTAGAGGCTTCTTTAAAAACTATGAGATAGTATAGCACAGAAATTGAAGGGATAGAGCCAGTCTACTTGCTTTTGAATCCCAGCTTTATTCTTTACTAGCTCCGCTACTGTGGGCAGGTTATTTAGCCTCTCTGTGCCTGTCTCCTCAAGTGTAAAATTGACAATAATAATAGAAATTGCTACATAGAATGGCTTTAAGGATTAAGTGAGTTAATACATAAAAAGTTTTGAAGAGAATTAAAGATGTCCTGAGTGTCAAGTAATTATTGGCTGCTATTATTACTACTACTAGTAGTAGGACAGGGGTAAAGAAAACTATTTCTCTTCTTCATCTTATGAGAAACTTACGGATTAGATACCTATATAATTAACTCAATATTAAACTGCCTAATCTATTCTTAGAGAACTCATATGGGAATCTCACCTTTTTTCTAAGAAAGGTACTTTCTAGAGCCAGTATTATCATTGTTTTTTTTTTCCAGTATTATCATTGTTATTCTTAAATTTCCTTCCGAGGCTTGAATATCTTTTTTCTCACTAACATGATCTGAAACCCACAAACTTCAAAAGAACGATTCATTTCTAACCAGTACATTTCTGCATAGAAAGAGCTTCTTTCATTCTGCTGTAACTGCTCTTTATGGTAGCAGTGTTTGGGAAGTGTGAAGTGTTCTGATTATTTAACAAGAGAAATGAGCAGTGATGGAACTGTCTGGACAGATGGTGTGAATCCCAGATTTTCTATCCTGTTACTGTGACCTTAAAAGGCAGAGAAAAGAACAGGGGATGGCTGTGTAGAGTAGTTCTTTGGAAGATTCCTCCAGCCATATGCCATTTTCATTCTTTTCAGCTCTATTTACTTGAAGGAACTATAGTATTTTCACCACTACTATTCCTTGAGGGGGGAAAAAAGCTTTTAAAGCTACTCTAAGGTCTTTTTATCTGTATAGTATTTTACTTTGTATTCATGTTCATTCTGAGAAAAGCTTAATACTATCATAGAATGCATTAAAAAAAAAGGCTAACAAGGAACTCAGGAAGAAAGAAAAAATTCCTCCTTTTGAAACTTTGCCCTGCATGCCTGCAAAATGATGTTTTTGGTCCTCAGATGTAATAATAATATTAATGTGAATAATAAATATATAGCTACTAGAGTATTGATACTGGTTATCTGGCACATGATAGGTACCTTATGTTTATTATCTCAGACAATCCTCACATTATCCCTGTGGGTTAGGTGTTCTCACTCCCAGTCAGATATGAGGAAAGTAACACTTAGAGAAATGAAATAACTTGCTCATTAATGGTAGAACCGAGATTTAACTCCAGAGCTGCTGGGTTCTTAAGCCTAAGTTCTTATTTCTAAGACTTAATAGGTTGAGTGAGTTAATATATGAAATGCATTTACAACAGTACTTGGCACTTAGTAAGTACTCTATAAACATTAACTACTGCTGCTCCTATCATTACTATATTATTATTACTATTACTATAATATTACTATATTATTATTACTGTCTGTGCTACTGTGTTGCTCACGAACATAGTTACCTTCAACACAGTGTTAACTTGGATTAGTTACTCCAGTGGGTCTGAATTTTGTATACTTATTTTTCTTCTCCAGAGTCCCAATCACTAGTAATAAAAAGTGATGAATATAATAACTGAGTCATCAGGATGTGATGGTTTTATTCCATAACCTCACAGTTGCTACAGATGCTGCCCAGGTTTCTTGGGGTTATTTCTTTCTTTCCCATCTGAGTCAGCTGATGTAAATAGGGGCCAGAAGTTTGAGAAGTAATAATAAAAACTATTTACCATGTGCCAGGCACTATGCCAAGCTTTTATATGCATCATCTCATTTAATCTTCACAAGTTTATGAGGGAGGCATTAATCTTGTCACCTTCATTTTATAGATGTAGAAATTAAGGCAAAGCTAATACTCAGACGTGGGGCCGTATCACTTCAGAGCCTATATTCTTATATATACATGATGTTAGCATCACCACGATCTATCATATTGTAAAGACTCCTGCTATGAAAATAGCCCTTCTACTCTATGATATTATCAGAGTAATATAGCTACCTCTCTAACCTCTAATAGGAAACATGGTACTCCATGAGCTAGTAGTGGGTTCCTTACACCTTCTGATATTTGTAGATATTCTGATATTTGTCTGATACTTCTGATATTTCTGCGTATTGTACAGATCTTCACAAAATTTGGATTTGTTTTCTGTGGGACTAGACTCCTATCCAAGTGTGGCTCTCATATAATGTTTCATTTCTGCAGAGTTTATTTACTAACTCTATGTGCTAAGTATTCTCATGTGAACATACTTAGTTTCTGCTCTCAAGGATTTCATAGTATGGACGATGAAACAAATTATTAAAGTATTTTATCAACAGTATAGTAATTGAAGTATATATTATATATAGTGGAGATACCAAATCAAAGTCTGTCTAGAAGTGACAGCAAGGAAATGTGGCTTTAAAATAGAAAAGTTTTTTGGTAGACTTGGTAGGAATATGGAGAAAGGCCTAATAATAGTTTTACTTAACTATTTTTCTCTTTAAACTATTTCTATTTTTATTCTTATTAAAAAATTCTATGAGTATTTTTTTACATAAAGTAAAAGCTTAATTATGGATTGTTTCCTTGCCTAGATTCCCAGAAATGAAATCATTATTGTTTGTGCTGTTTGAGAAGTACAAAGGGTAAGTGGGTAATGTTCCAATACCAGTAAAATCCAAGATTTTATTCCTCAGTCTTGTTTTTCCTTTGACTCGTTAGGACTCTTAGAAGTTGTATGGGCTTCCTCAGTCTTCCTTGCAGCATGTTTTATTCTGTCTTTTCACTCGTACTTTTTATTTTTATTTTTTTTAAAGATTTTATTTATTTATACATGAGAGAGACAGAGACAGAGACACAGGCAGAGAGAGAAGCAGGCTCCTCATAAGGATCCTGGGATCATACCCTGAGCCAAAGGCAGACGCTGAACCGCCGAGCCACCCAGACACCCCTCACCCCTATTTTTTAGATAAACTTTTTATTTTATGATCATTTTTGATTTACAGAAAAGTTGCAAAGATGATACAGAGTTTCTGTATGCCAGTTATTCCTAATGTGGTACCACAGTACCTTGCTCAAAGCTAAGAAACTAACATTGGTGTATTACAATGAACTGAATTCCAGACATGATTTGGGTTTCACCCGTTTTTCTCCTTAATGTCCTTTTTCTGTCTTAGGATATAACTCAAGATACCACATTGCATTTAGATACCCAGCCTTGGGATCCCTGGGTGGCGCAGCGGTTTAGCGCCTGCCTTTGGCTCAGGGCGCGATCCTGGAGAACCCGGGATCGAATCCCACATCGGGCTGCTGGTGCATGGAGCCTGCTTCTCCCTCTGCCTATGTCTCTGCCTCTCTCTCTCTCTCTCTCTCTGTGTGTGTGTGACTATCGTAAATAAATAAATAATAAATAATAAACAAACAAACAAATAAATAATAGATACCCAGCCTTTTCCAACTTCTTTGAGACCAAGATTTTAAGCATGTCACTAAGTAGTACCGGCTTATAATATATCATGACATGTCCCAGTTGTGTCCATTCAAGGGCATGGAGTTCCCTTTTTTGATGTTGCTCCTCAGTACTCTTAACTGGAAATAATCTCTCTTTGTTCTGAATTTCCATAGATTTTTTTTTCCTTTACTTTTTCATACCTTATTTGGGAACTTCTGCTGATTTGGCTTTCCTTTCTGAGTTATAGATAGAATCAGGCCTGGTAAATCTGTTGGACTGACTGAGACCTGAGCCCTACATGAAATCAAAATCAGTCCTTAAGTGCATTTGTTTTATTAAGATGATAAGGTAATAATACCAGACTGGTATCTTGATCCACCTACCCCCTTTGTAGCATCAGAACGACAAGGTCAAGCCACCCAGTTTTTTCAGCCATTCTCTTTTACCAGAAGTTAAAGTTAGTTGTTGAATCTCTACTCCTAGGTTCTCTCAGCTTTCTAGATTGATACCAAGCTCCCATGTTTTTAGCTCTCAAAAATATATTTGCCTTTTTAGTACTTATAGCTGTGAAGCTAAAACAACGAATTTGAATTATTTCTTTAAATTAGTGTATTTAGGACGGCCCCGGGGGGGGGGGGGGGGCTCAGTGGTTTGGCGCCCCCTTCAGCCTAGGGTGTGATCCTGGAGACCCAGAATTGAGTCCCGCATCGGGCTCCCTGCATGCAGGCTGCTTCTCCTGCCTGTATCTCTGCCCCTCTCTCTCTCTCTCTCTCTCTCTCTCTCTCTCTGTCTCTCATGAATAAATAAAATCTTTAAAAAAAATTTACAAAAAAAATAGTGTATTTAAAACATAGACTTTTCTAAAAATGATCTCACATTTCCTATTCTATTTATATCTCCATATTTTACAACAGATATATTGTCTTAGGTTTCCTTAATTGTATCTCCAAACCTCTACCTGTATACAGTATACAGAAGTGGGAGTTAGTTATATAGTTAACTTTGTTTATTTGGTTTTTTAAAGAAAGGATTATTTTAGGGGAACCTGAGTGCTGCAGTTAGTAGAGCATGTGACTCTTGAGCTAGGGGTTGTAAGTTCAAGCCCTACATTGGTATAGAGATTACTTAAGATAAAATAAAGATAAAATCTTTTTTTAAAAAAAGATTACCTCAGAATGAATAAATGGCAGACCTTTCATCTGTGTGAGGTAAATGATATTTTTTAAGACTGCCATATGTCTTGTTTAAATGTAATTCTAAGGGTGCCTGAGTGGCTCAGTTGGTTAAGCATCTGTCTTCAGCTCAGGTCATGATCTCAGGGTCCTGCGATTAAGCCCCGAGTCAGGCTCCCTGCTCAGTGGGGAGTCTGCTTCTCCCTCTCCTTATCCCCACTCATACTCTTTCTCTTGCTTTCTCTCTCTCTCTCAAATAAATAAATAAAATCTTTTTTAAAAAAGAATATAATTCTATAAAGTTTTCTATAAGGTAGTAGTCCAGGAGAAATAAAAACATATGTTTCACTGCAAGAGTTGACATGAATGTTCATAGCATTCTTACTTATGGTAACCAAAAAAAAAAAAAAAAAAAGAAAGAAAACAACCCAACTGTCCATTTTCTGGCCAGATAAACAACTTACATGTTCATGCGGTGGCATACTACTCAGCAATAGAGAGAAATGAACTACTGATACATGCAATAACATAGATGAATGTCCAAAATATTATGCTTAGTGGAGGAAGTCAGACATACTACGTCTGCATGTATTTGAAATTGTAGAACACGCATAACCAATGAAGGATGTTGTTAGATCAGTGATTGCCAGGGGCCAGAATAGATCTACTACATGACTTGCCAAAGAGCATGGGGACCTTTGGGTAGCAGGGTGGTAGAAGTATTTTGTTTCTTAATTGTTGTAGTGGTTACACAGGTATATGTGTTTCTCAAAACTTAAAATGGATGCATTTAATTATATGTAAATTACTTTTCAAAAAAGTTTATTTAGAGGGATGCCTGGGTGGCTCAGTTGGTTAAGTGTCTGACTTTTGGTTTCAGCTCAGGTCATGATCCTAGGATCAAGCACCATGTCAGGCTCCATGCTCGATTGGGAGTCTGCTTCTCCCTCTGCCCCTCCTACTGCTTCTGCTCTCTCTCTTGTTCTCTCTCTCTCCAATAAACTCTTTTTTAAAAAAAGCTCATTTAGAAAAAAGTTTATATACAGTGTTTAAAAAAGCTTTGGGTGGTTTAGTCTATTAAGTGTCTGACTCTTTTTTTTTTTTTTATTTTCACATTCATGTTTTTCTTCATTTTTGAATAAACACTGCGTCTCAGAGCTGCTATACTAGATATATTCCTTTACTATATTTAAATATTCAAAAGTCATTCACATAACACGTAGCACAGGATTTAACAGAATAGCAAAATATCATATAAAAATAAATGAAAAGCTTTCATATATGCACTGAAAAGACCTCACACACATACGTACAGGCGTACGATAAGTGCTCCTCATGATCTCTTCATAGATCTCCTCCTTACTGCTCTGAACAGACCTCAGAACCACCCCCGGCAGGTCACACAGAGGCAGCCTCTGCACACCTTTCAGCTGACCTCGCAGGGCAGACGGGGCTGAAGCCCAGGCTGGTCAGGCCACAGAGACAACCCAGTGGGGAAAGCCATCTCTAGACAGCATATGCAAGAGGTGATGCTAGCTTGGCTTGGTTTCCAGGTGTGGACCCTTCCAGTCCAGAATCATGCACTGTTTCCAAGACTGGGATTCTTGGGATATATGTCACTGGGTGACAAGTTCAGAATCTCATCCAAGGAAGGGCCTTCATCCTCTGGAGTGATTTCGGACTCGAACATCTGCTGCAGCAGGGCGTCCACAGTCCTATACTTTTTAGATGCAATTCTGAAGTACAATCCTTTCAAGGCCTTCCTTTTGTTGTCTCCATCATCCCCACTGAAGCCACTGTCTTTGGCATCCATGTTATCAATGAGCTTCCCATCCTGCATTTCTTCTTCTTGAACTCCCACTCCAAGCTCTTGAATCTTCTTCTCGATAGCAGTTTCGACTTCACTTTTTTCTAAGGAGTATGCCACAAAAAATGCCTCCAAGATGAACACTATGAAAATATTAACAATGAGAATGACGACCACAATGTGGAAGCTGATGAAGTACAGCTTTGCCGCCTGGTGAGTCACCAGAGCGAAGCCACCTGCGAGGACGTGCCACTGGTTCACCACCGTGAGCTCCATCAGCACGATGAACGAGGAGGCGAGGTCATTGAAGTTGTTCTTGCAATACTGGTCTCGGGCGAATGCGGAGCCGGTCAAGGCTGGGTTCCCACACACCTGAGCTTCGGGAGTGGTGAAATTCGGGTCGAAGAACCGGACTTTGCCTTGGAATGCTTCCATCCCAATGATAGCAAAGACGTAGTAGACCACCAAGACAAGTCCACCAAACGTCAGTATCGTGGGGCCAATGTTAATTAAGGTGGTCACGATAAGCCGGAATCTCTGAATACTGACAATGATCCTTAGGAGCCGGAGTATCCTCAATATCAAGACAATATCCAGTATCTGCTGACTGTTGTAATTTCCTGACTGAATGGTGGCGTTGGCCACAGGCACCCAGAGCCGCGATGATGATCAGCATATCAAACCAGTTCCAGAACTGCTTCCTGCCAAAATAGGCTCTGGGCTCATATGTGTACAGTTTCAGGAGAATTTCAATAATATATAGAGAAAGAAAAAGCCATTCTGCGTTAGAGATGAAGGGTTTTTTCTCATCCAGAGCAATGAATATGGCATTTACTAGAATGATGACATCATAAACCCAGACAAAAATCCTGTGCCGAACCATTCTCTGGACCAGGAGGCTTGCAGACGACTGGTATACCCGAGGCATCCAGTCTTCCAGTGGGTGTCTCTTGATGTTGATGGCGACTACCTGAATATTGAGGAGGTCAGCCAAGCGTAGAAAGTTCATTTTGTCCACGTGCCCCTTCTGTCCCTCGTCGGAGATCCTCAAAAGGAGCTCCAGGTGGGGACTGCTGATGTGTGGCATCACGATCTTGGCCAGCCGCTTCCACTGGGCCTCTGTCACCACAAACTCTGTGCCCACCTTGACTTTCAGAATGTTGAAAGCCTCTATCATTTTGCGACGTTTCAGGTATGCCAGTTTGAGAATCTCAT